TCTATGAATACTATCACGGATTTATCAAGGTATGGTTTACAAACCCTGTTCATCAAATCCATGAAAGCTGCTGGGGCATTGGTTAATCCGAACGACATAATCAAAAATTCATAGTGTCCATATCTTGTTCTGAACGCAGTCTTCTCGATATCCTGCTCTCTCACCTTCAGTTGATGGTATCCCGACGTAAGATCGATCTTCGAGAAATAGCTTGAACCTTGCAATTGGTCTAACAGGTCATCGATCCTCGGCAACGGGTACTTGTTCTTTATCGTCGCTTTATTCAGCTCTCTGTAATCGATGCACATTCTCATGCTCCCGTCTTTCTTCTTTACAAACAACACAGGGGCTCCTCAGGGTGATGAACTAGGTCGAATGAAACCTTTGTCCAATAACTCCTGAAGTTGTGTCATAAGTTCTTTCATTTCGGTTGGCGCTAATCGATACGGTGCTTTTGCTATCGGCGTCGTTCCTGGTAACAAGTCGATACGAAACTCCACTTGTCGATCAGGGGGCAATCCGGGAAGATCTTCGGGAAAGACTTCCGGATAATCACACACCACCGGAATATTCTGCACCTCCTTCTTCTCCTTCTTAGCATCGATCACGAACGCTAGATATGATGTACATCCCTTGGCCAAACACTTTCTGGCTTTCATTAGGTAAATGATTCCAGAGTTTACTCTGCGTTTGGCTCCATACACCATAAACGACTCTTTTCCTGGCGGGTTTACTTTTACTATCTTCTTCCTACATAATATCTCGGCGTCATTGGCGCTAAGCCAATCCATTCCTAAAACTATGTCGAATCCATTTAACTCGATAAGCAATAATTCCTCGTGGAACTTATTCCCATCCAAGTCAATGAGGATATTTTTCATACGATGGCTAACATGTACAAACTTGCCACTAGCAATCTCGACTAATAAGCCATTAACTAGTCTATCTACAGGCAAAGCTAGTTTTCTACCAAATTCATGCGATATAAAGGAGTAGTTGGCTCCAGAATCAAACAAAATTTGGGCAGGCAATTCGTTTACGAGAAAGGTACCTGAAGCGACATCGACTTCTTCTTCTTTTGCAGCTTCAAGGGTCATCTGAAAGGCTCTCGCCTTCGGCTTTGGTGGTAGATTGGGCTTTGCTGCATCCTTCCTCTTTGGACAGTCTTTTAAAACATGCCCTACTTCATGGCACTCAAAACATACCCTCTTGTCGGTCGGACACACGTTGGCATAATGCCCAGTCTTTCCACATTTGAAGCAAGTCACCTCCTCACTACATTTCCCAGAGTGCTTTTTCTTGCACTTCTCACACCATTTCACTTCACCTCCTCCTCCAAACTTCTTAGACTTAGAAAATTTTCTTCTCTTGTTGGAACCTAAAGTTCCTTCAAATTTTCTCTTTTCACCAACTTCTGCCCTCTCCAGACCCTTCTCTCTGATCTGAACCTCCACATTCTTAGCAGCCCAGATGGCGGCTTTCAAAGTGGTTGCTTGTTTTTACCATCGGACCAAAGTCCGCTGGTAATCCGAGGGCAAACTTGTTAACCTTAGAGAGTTTAGTTGGAACTAGATAAGGAACAAACTTCAGCTTTTCTGTAAAACTAGCAGCGTATTCAGTAACGCTCATCTTTCCCTTCTTTAAATTCTGGAACTCATTATTAATTTCCAGAAGGTCCTGCTCTGAGCAGTATTTCAATTTCAGTTGTAGCACAAAGTCTTCCCAAGACATCTTACTAGCTTCTCCCTTGGGCATCGAATCAGCTAGTAACTTCCACCAGCTCAACACACCAGACTTTAACAGAGGAATTGCAAGTGCGGTCTTTTGTTTGTTGCTGCACTCACAACTTTCAAACATCGTCTCCATTTCGGAGATCCAATTCATGACTTCCACCGGTGTCGGACTTCCAGATAGACATGGTGGTTTAGATGCCATGAAATCTTTATATTTGCACCCGCGTCCATCAGCTCCTCCATCCTGGTTATTTTGTCTAACTATTGTTGGGTTGGCTTGACCAAGAGTCCCACTGTAGTTCCCTCCTACTGATTGCCCTTCATTCACTACGGGCTGTTCAACAGGTATCGTAGTCTCTTCCCTATGTTGTTGTAGTAATCGCCTTATCTCCTCCATCTGGCGATCTAACATCATCTGCATCATTGCTTGTACCCCCAGCCATCGTCATTGGCTCAGGTGCAGCTCCTACAACAGGTACTTGCTCAACTACTTGAGGTTGAGGCTGTTGATCCCTATTTCCGTTTGCATTTGCAACTCCACTATGAGTTCTTGCCATTACAATCTATATACCGAATAAGGCGAATTTAGGTGTTTATCCTTGTTAGACATTTCAATTCCCTTATCACTCCGAAACGTTTATATGTTAGTTCTAATCTCGTAATCGTACGGTTAGAATCCTACACACATAAGGTTTCCAGATCCGGTCGGCAACAGACCATAGATCCGAACAAATAATGGCACACATGGCAAACACATAGCATTTAGCACATAAGGGCATTTTAGGCATCTTTCCTAAAATAAACTAGTGCTCGTGTCTAAAATATGGTAGACACTCATCTCACAATCAACACTTAGCATTCTAAGTTTAAGTCTAGAAATCCTACAACTTCTTAGTTCGCTTAAACTAATGCTCTGAAACAAACTGTGACATCTCCTAATTTCTCGGCCAGAAAAGGCCGATTTAATTTATGCTTTTTAAAGTAAAATCAGAGAAATCTTTTTAAAAGATGTTGCGGAATTGGTCCCCAATACAAAATATGATAAAAAGTTTATCAAAACCTTTCTTTAAGAAATATATAATTTCATTTCATATCAAAACCTCGGGATGTCATGTTCCGATACAGATCAAAAGCATAAACCAGACATTATAAGCCTTTTAACAGTTATTTACAACTACTGGCCTATAATCCAAAATCTCTCATCGTCCTCCGACTATGCTCGAGGTCCACTACCTGTAACATAAAAAGCTGAGTGGGTCAGGCTTGGGAGCCTGGTGAGCATATAGGTTTTTCAACCCACAGTAATAATAAACTTATTAAGTTCACCAATCAACAATAACCCTGATTACCCGTTCCCGTTATCCTCACTTTACGTCCCTAAACACTTATCACAAGGGACCTAGCCTAAAGAATATCATCGGGATGGACACTACTTCTAAGGGGTTTCCTTAGCCATACATGTCCTAAAGGCAACCATGAGGGGGATGGAGTACAACGAATGAACACTCTAGTTCATTAACACCTACAGGTTGCGGACCTGCTAATGTTTCCCACTGGACTGTCTAGAAAGTCCGTGGTCGTCATCCAAACTCCGCTAGATGACTGAATCACAAATCACATCTAGGCCTCTCATTACTTTTATTTTATCACACATCACTATCTACCCATGTTCTACCCAACATATTTGTAGATAAAAATACTTATATAGTTTAAAACTTGTATAAAACATCAACTCAACAGTCACTTCAAATAAACAATTAATATATTTACACATAGCACGTATTATAAGGTAAATACTTCATATCTATGTGTAAAATGAAAGTGACTATACACTAACATGTTTTGATGAAAATCGGGCAGCAATTCGTTTCCTAAAACGTTCGTTTCTAATAAAACCGGGAGTTTTATTCAGAAACCGGGCTCTGCGAGGGTCGGGCTTCGAAACCGAAAAGATAAATTTTCTGAGCTTCTCGGGCTCTTCGTGGCGTATTCCGGGGGTTATAATCGATACCGGGGCTTTGGGGGATGTTAAGATGAAGAAAATATGAAGAAAGGGGCTTAGAATGGCAAAACTCCAAAAGTAACCGAGAAGGCTCGCATGACCCTTCTATTTATAAGGTCCGAAGTCGGCTTAAGGAGGAGAGGAGTCAGCATGCGAGGACACGCGACAGCAGGGCGAGGGTGCGCAGCACATGGCTCGCATGTGCGAAGTCTTGGTGGCAGCCGCTGATTGGACCGAGGTCTAGTCCGAGACTTCGGACGTGGCCTCCTTCTGCGAGACTCGGACATGTGATAGTAGACACGCATCGGATCCTTAGTGGACCTCTTCGGATTTGCTCTCAGGTTCGGATGACTCACGAGATCGGATGACTCAGCAGAGTTTCGGACACGTGGCTCGCATGACTCACCAATTTCGGACACGTGGCACGTTCTAAGCGAAGGTGACGTGGCCGAAGCCACCTATGCGAAATTTCTCGGTTTTCGCGCCAAAACGTCTAAAATCCATAACTTTTGCATACGAGCTCCGTTTTTGACGTTCTTTATATGCACGCGTAGGTAAAACTACGCTCTACAACTTTCGTTTAGACTTCGTCGGCTAATTTTGACTTTAATTTTTATATTATTATTTTTAACAGACCGGGACAGAAATCCGTTAAAAATTCATAACTTCTTCATCCGACGTCCGTTTTCGTCAGACTTTTTACCGTTTAGCTACTAATGACGAGACCTTCGATTCTCGTTTAGGTCATGTCGGCTAAAAACCACTCGATCTAAAATTCGAGTTTTTAGCTGTCTACTACTAAGCTGAAACTTCGAAAAATCATAACTTCCTCATACGAAGTCAGATTTGGGTGTTCTGTTTATACCTACTCTCGGTTTAACGAACACTACGAGTTTCATTTAGATCACTAAGGCCAAAAACTAGTTTATCAAAAACTCACTTTTTACGACATTCGGCCCGTGCCGGTTTGTCGCGAAACTTCGACAGGTCATAACTTCTTCGTTATAACTCGGATGTTGGCATTCTTTATATATTTGTAATCCTTGTCACGCCCACTACAAGTTTCTTAATAGATATCGGCTTTATCTAAAATTTAATTTTGACGCTCATTTTTTATTCTTAATTAACTAAACCCTAATAATTAAGCATAAAACACATAAAACACATAATATTCACATAATTCCTTTTCATTTCTCCAAAATGAGTCACAAAGGTTAACCTAGACTATAATGTCAATATTAATGTCTAGCCTAGAAACACGGGCATTACATCATCTCAGCAAAACGATCAATAATTTGACGTTGTGCATCTGGGTACAAATACAAGACACACTTATCCTTCAATTCTTCAGGGTATTTTTCCTTCATGTCAACACAATCTTGATGAAGACCAAGTTGGATGGAGGACATCTGCAAGGTAGCATTCATCGCGTCAAAATCACTTGAATCTAATAGAGCACGAAAAAAAAGAGGAATACCTTCCTTCACAACCCACCGCAGCTCCTCAGCCCCCTGTCTACTCTTGCCTGGCAAGTGGCCACTTTCTGTTCTGTCAGGAGTTGTGCATCATTCAATGTAGCAATTTGAGCATCACTCTCCAACATCAGGAGTTTCGCCGCAACCAACTCCTCCTCCAGCAACTTAATGCTAACATCCTTACTCGAACAGGCAATCTCCAATTGAGAAACTTTCTCTATGTATTTGTGACTTAAATGAATGATACTGCTGAGAAACACCTTCGAGCTCTTTCACGGCTAAAGCACGATGGCTTAGAGCATCATCTATTCTAATTTGCAAATCCTTGTTCAACTTTTTCAGCTCCTCTTGCTGGCCAATAGATTTACTCAAATCCGCTACCAGACTCCGGTTCCTCTCCGACAAACCAACAACCTCTTCCTTTAAATCTTTGGCTTCTTTCTCCGTCTGTTCGTGAAGGACCCGCAACTGTTTCAGCCCTTCCAAAGCTTCATCGAAAACAACCTGGCGTTGGGAAAGCTCCTCTAAGCGTGCTTTCATACGTAAGGACACTTCATTCAACAAATGTATTCCCTCCATCAAGCATGACTGAGCCTTATCCAGTGCTTTCTCATCAGAGGCAGCCCCCGTTTGAAAAGGGTTTAGAGGAACACTGGTCACAATGAAAGAACGCCGAAACTAGGGAAGTGAAGCAACGAGGGTGATCAGTGTTGGCATAGTGGCTTCCTTTCCTATTATGATGATAGCTGCACAAACAATAAAACAAACAAATTGTAACAGGGATACGACAAAATATATAAAAATAAAGAAAGAAAAGAAGAAGAAGAAGAAGAAGAAGAAAGCAAGCGTCGATAAAGAAAGAAAAGGAACATACGACCCACCGAAGAGGGAGGATTAGAGATAGTTGCTTCCGTGTCCACAGGTTCCTCATTCTCAGTCATCGTATCGGAAAGGATAGGGATAGGTGTAACAACCGAAGAATCAGTGGTCGACGCCACAAAGCATCCAAACCTAGACCTAAAGAGTTTGTGCTGGAATACAGCGACAGCAGACAAGCTCTTGGGATTTTCCTTCTCCAAAAGAGGGTTTTCAGGGGGATTCTTAGCAGCAACCTCCAGTACTGATTTGGCCAAATGGGACGCCTCTGCCTCACTTTCCACACGTTTCATTTCGCTATCCGGTTCGATTGGACAGTCATGGAAGACAGTGGTTGTAGAGCCTGCCAAGGTACGCTCAAAGCTTGTAACATCAAGAACAGGAGGATCAACAAGCTAATTCAAGCTTCGACTTCTTGTTTCACGACCAGAACATTTCCACTCGGGAGGAGACATTTAGATGAGCTGGTCATCTTGAGCACTTTCAGAGCGCCTCTTTAAGTCGAACCCTTTCGAGGAAGCTCTTGTAGACACTATGGGAGGTTTACCATAATTAGAATCCAAATTTCACACCTTTGGGTCGAAGGTTAGGGGGGACATATTTAGAGCTCTCCGACTGTGAAGCCTCTAGAGCGGAATCCATGCTAGATTTTGACCGATTCGGGGAGTCCGGGATCACCACCCTCCTCTTTAAGTAGGACAGGGTTCACATTTCTCTTTCAATGAAGACGATCGATAAGGGTTATATTTTTTCCCTCAAATATGTCCACAAGTTTATTACCCAAACGACTCTAATGAGGACTCATGCCTGCCATACCCAACACCGCTTCATCAGGAACTGCCCATCGAACAAAGTTGCTCGCTAACCTCTCTGTTATCAACAATTCATCAGGCGAGAGTTCAGGGACGAGGTCGGCAACCCTGTCAGCGGTTGCACCATACGCCATAGGGTCGGAAAAAGAAGAGGCATGAACAAAGAAGAACTCTTCCTTCCAGTATTTGATAGAGGTGGGGAGGACATCGCATAGCTCCATCAAACCATGGCGAAGAGAGAAGGAAACCCAATCTCCATTGGACATAGGAAGGTAGAAGTAATGAAACAGGGTAATAGACGGCGACACATCTAGGGCAACGCACAGCAGGGTAAAGCAAAGAACCTTGCGAAAACCAGTGGGGTTTATTAGGGTGATGTGCAAACCATAGTATCCAGAACGATTTCGAGGAAATCGAAAGCAGGGAGACGTAACCTAGACTTGTAGAATACTCGATAAACCCCCACGAAGCCTTCTGGAGTGTCAGTAATGGCATCGTTGGCCTCCGGTAAGCGAGGGTGGAACTTGGGATCGATATGGTACTTCCGAAGAAGCATACCCATGGTTTGAACGGTTAGTTTGGATTTCACCGTTCCTATGTGAGAAATCCCAGTGCTTGCCATGTTTAGAAGAGAGGAAGAAAACAAGAAGGTTGGCAGGAGAAGGAAACTGACTATAACTGAAAGAGCGAATGATGAAATGGCTGGTTTAAAACCAAATATTTATAGCAAGTCTAGAGCATGTGAGGATTAACGGGCAGAAAAAGTGGTTGGTAGATACTGTACCCCTATTCAAGTAATGGCAGATAAAGAGATGGTTATAGGGATCATCATTAGGAATAGCATAACCGTTAGCACGTCACGTCAGAATTAATTCAGGAGTTTTACGCCCCTATCCAACCATAACAACTATAATATCGCTCTCACCAAAGTTTACATCCCTACTCTATCGAATATGTAGATATACAAAATGGGGGGGGGGGACTTAATGGGGTATAATCCGGAAATACCTTTATCCTTTCCTAAACATGTCGAACCAGCATGTTCAAAGATGCCCGAATCATTAAACACCGAACTGGCATAACGACTTTTGAGGAAAAGAAAGAGCAGAGGGAATGTACAAAGTGACGTCAAAACAGTAACGACAGTATCTCGAAACTTTGAGGATACAGCCTGTACGAGGATACAGGTCAAGAGATCCTGGTACAGACACACAACAACTGTATAACGGTATGCATAGTACCAATGGTCGTACCTTCGGGCGTTATACCATAAATACGATAAGATGGCTTGTCAGGGTCGATATAGGAAGAGCTTTCCACTTCCTATACCATTATAAATAGACGTATCGACACATCAAGAAGGTAAGTACACATAATCTACTTCTAACTCTCGTGTATAATCAATCAAATATATAACCTTTCGCTAACTTAACTGTCGGAGGATCGTCCGGGATCTCCTTCCGGTCGGTTACTTACGGTTTGTTTGCAGTCTTCAGTTCAATCTTATTCCCTAAGGAGATCAGATCCTTAAGTGAAAGATGGAAGGCGAACCTGAGGGCACACCATCTAATATTCAAGTTCTATATATTTTTAAATATCCCACCTATTGAAAACTGAATTGTAAAACCGATCCAACCGAATTATAATTTAGTTGGTTCAGATCGGATTTGAATTTAGTTTGGAATATTTAGATTCGTGTTTTGAAAATTGAAAACTAGATTGGATCGGATCGAACCTATCTATCCAAATGAACACTCCTACACAAAATAGGGAGAATTTCATATATACCCTTATTAAGCTTAAAAATATCGTATTTTGCCAACCTAAAATCTAAATATCATACATACCCTTATTAACTAATTAAAATATCATATTTGCCCAAATTTATTTTTTAAACATTTTTTTTAACTCTTTTAATCAATTTTTATATTTTAAAATCATCTGAATTTATCATAAAAATCTAGTTGACCAAATTGCCCTTAATTTTAAACCTTTTTGCCTTACATGGGATTGACCAAAATCAGTCTACACATAAATATCTATCCATTTTACGATCTCATTGCATAAATAGGTAGTACCAAATTGACCTTGACTTATCTTTTCACTCAGTGTTTAGACATCAGGAATGTTATTAGTTTTATGACCAAGAACATAGTAAGCTTGATTGTAGGTTCCGTGGTGACTCCTGGTGGTGGTGGTGGTGTATTTTTTGGGAAGAGGGAGGGGTTTGGGAGTGGGTTCTTTTGAAAATTCTTACTTCTTAGGATATGAGCAGGTCCGGTCCTGACGGTGGGCGACCCGGGCGACCGCCCAGGGCCCACGAGTTTAAGGGGCCCAAAATCTTGGGTTATATGGTGTATATAGTTAAAAAAAATTATGTATATCTTTCTTAAGGGCCCAATTTAGCCAAATATGAAATTAGCCAACTAAAATAAAAAAAAACCCGCCTATGCGCCTCGTATTGGATTTTGGAAAGTGGGAACACAGAGACCAGGAATTAGGGTGTTGTGAATCAATAAACGAATCGTCATACTCCATAATCGAAGCGTCATCCCCTCATGAAAGATATACATAATGGTGTATATAGTTAACAAAAGACTCTCGTTTAGTCTTTTGTTGTCGTTCCTAAAAATATCCAAAACACTAATTCAACTATTCAAGAATCCTTTTTTTCTACCATTCTTGCCCTTACCCTTCAACCATCTCTACTTCTTACTCTCTCAAAGCGCGAAAATTTCGCCTTCAGCCTTCCTATTTGCTGATTTTTAGAGTGCATCGATCATACCAGGTAAGGTATTTTTGTTTCTGATTTCTGAACAGATTATGAGTTTCTGCCCTGAGTTGTTTTTGTTTATTGTTTTTAATTGGTTAGGACTTTTTGAACTGATTTACTGATTTGTGTTTCTAATTTCTTAATAGATTAGGTGTTATCAAACTGATTTCTGATTTGTGTTTGCTAAATCTATTCAGACATTCTTAACTGGTTTCTGATTTCTAAATGGATTAGGAGTTTTTGTACTGATTTCTGATTTGAGTTTCTGATTTTTGTATTAATTCTTGATTTATTTTTTCTGAATTCTGAATAGATTAGAAGCTTCTGAACTGATTTATGTATTAATTTTTGATTTATTTTTTTCTGAATTCTGAATAGATTAGAAGCTTCTGAATTGATTTCTGGTTTGTGTTTATGATATTTCGTTTGTATATCAAATTTCTAAAGTCATTTTCACCTTGAAACAGTGAAACTCAATGGTTTAAGGTTCACATTTACACTCAATATGGTAAAATGTTTGTAGATTTTAGGAAGTAATTGTATAATTAGATGCTTTAAGTTCCAAATTTATTGCATATAACGTGTTATTGATTAACAAATCTTGTAACTTTTGTCTGCAGAGAGAAGTGCAAAGTGAAGTTTTTTAAAAACTAAAGTTATTGAAGAATTACACAAGCTTATCAATGTCACAAGAAAAGTTTTCTGGTTTGGCAATACTATGTAAGAAAAAAGATATATTAGATAAAATGATTTTGATAGTATCATTAATGATTTTGTATTTAAACGAACTAGAAGAAGTATTTTTATTTAAATTAGTTGTTTTTGTAAATGTTGTTATATTTTGTATTTTTGATAATATTATTATTGATTTTTGTAATCGGTATGTCTATTTTTGAAGTTTTATTATACTTTTGACTTTATGGGGCCCTTTTTTATTGTCGCCCTTGGCCCAAAATATGTTTGGACCGACCCTGTGAGTAATCTAAAGAGTTGTTAGATAAAGAAGAAGAAGGATTTTGATTTGTGATTGAATGGTCTTTAGACTTATTAAAGCCTTGTGTGTGCTCTGGGTAATGGGTGGATATGTGAATCAAGAACTATTTTGGGTGTTTTTGTAATGGATGAGTATTACAAAGATGTTATGATGATGAAGTTCAGGAATGGTGAGATTGGACGTGGAGAGAACTTGAAGATATATGGGAGGAAGGTGAGAGGAGGAGGCTAGGGAGAATCATTGTAATCGAAGATATGAATGACGGTTCTCTGAGTGTCTTCAAGCTTGATAAAAGTGACATTTTCAGGTAACTTCTAAAATCATGATCTGATTTTGATTTTTCAAGTCATATGACATCTGAATGAACATGATCACACGTATGCCATATTGCCATGGACTCTAATGGTTGGAAAAAGGAAACTAACATCCCAAGAAAGCTAACAGGTGAATCATAAATGGGTTTTGTTACACTTAATGGCGAGAGTTGCATGTGATGTGTTATTCTCAGATGGTACTAAGTTGCCATTTTCTGCACACCACCCTTGAGCCTGAGTTTGGAGTTGTTCAATAAATCCCAATCAGGAAATTACCAGAAGACGAAAACCGTAGAAAATTAGAATCAGAGGACGTTGAATCAAGACATTAAAAAGAACCAAAAGATATCGACTATTGTCATGAGCAAAGATCGGCAACAAACTATGGTTGTCATTCCAATTTCAGAAGGCGTCGATCTCCATCTAGGTGATGAGAAGAAGGGTTAGATAGCTAGGGGTAATCCAGTCCATCAAATTCAAATGTATGGCAACAAGGTTATAAAGTTGAAGGGCAATCTGATCAATTAGCTTTTTTTTTATAAATTAAAATTATTATAACATATAAAAACTAGATAATAGTGTTTAAAAAATAAATTTGGCCAAATATGATATTTTAAAAGTAAAAGAATGATATATATGATATTTAGATTTTAGGTCGGACAAATACCTTATTTTGAAGCTTAACAAAGGTAAATATGAAATTCTCCCTACAAAATAAAATAAAAACAAGGTTTTGTTGTAGTTTTGGGGTTCGACATATGGGTTATCTGGCTGCTGGCAATTGTAGCAAATTATATAGGTGGTGAATCCTAAGAGCAACTCCAATGGACCACTAAAATGGTGCAAAGCCTCTAAAAACCACTCCAATGGACCTTCAAAATCATCACCATTTTTGTGAAGCCTCTTGGTGGCCTCTAAATTTGGCATGACTATCTCCCAACACCAAATGTACTTTTTCAATTTAACTCTATTATTTTATTATATATACTATTTTTAACACCATTATAATTATTAATTTATTCTATATATTATTATTAATGTAAAATTTTAGTGTATGGTTGGAGTGAAAAATGCATTTTAGTGTTACAAAGTCACCATTTTAGTGATTTTTAGTGTTTTGTGGTTGGAGTTGGTTAATAGTGCTCCGGTGTTAGCTGAAAATTTTTAAGAGAGACCCTCAAGAGTTTCTTGACCATCTATATCATTAGTTCTCGCATAATACACACATAGATTTTCGTAACACTTTGCTAATTCTCAAACACAACATTATCTTGTAGCGTATAAATCTCCTCAACCACAACATTTTAATCATTAACTTCATCATGATTTTGAAAAATATCATGAACAATAGAGGATAGTTGAAACAAAAAAATAGCATTATGATAGTCGGAAAAAAATAACACAATGATAGTCTGAATAAAAAAAATAACAAATAAATAATCCCAACGAAAAAATAACACAAGGATAGTCGAAACGAAAAAATAACACAAGAATAGTCCGTACGAAAAAAAATAACACGAGGATAGCCCGAATGAAAAAAT